GGGGGGGAGAAAGAGAGAGCGCTATCCTCCTGGGTATAGCAGTGGTGCTGCAGCCCTGCATTGCAGAGATAAGACCACCGCCTTCACAGAAGCCTGTTTCTTGGGAATTTGAAAGTTGTCCTCATACTCCACTGTTGACACACAATGTCATCTGTCATCCAGCTACAAAGGCCCTGAGCAACCTCCTAACTGTCCGACAAGACACTCCAGCATTAGTTCAAACTGTCTCTGTCGAGATGCTGTCAACAGAAGAAGAAAACTGTGTCCGTGTGTGTGTGTTTGCCTTGTGTGATTTATGTAGTACAGCCACTTACACGCTGTAGGGCCTTGTAACCCTGACAGTATGCCTGTACCGCTTTATGACAGTAAGCGGCGGGCCTGTAATTCCTGGCCTCCTCCTTTCATCTTGATAACCTCTTATCAGAGCAGAGCAGCACACTCGCACTGTGGCGGCAGCCACATCCCTGCCCGGCTGTCCACGCTGCCACAGAGACCTCATCTCACTCTGGTACTACTGCTCTCATTCACCCAGGCTGCAGTGTTTCACATCCAGCACATTCACATTTAACTGTGCCATAACTGCCATTAAAAAGGAAAACCTAGAGGGGACAAACCTAAGTTGTCAACACAATAAATTGATAGCACAAGCTGGAGCCTATCCAGCTTTGCCTGAAGTGGGCTTACACTGCACAAATTAGCATCCACAGTTTAAATTCCCTGCATACCTTGATTACACGATGATGTCAGACAAACTTTAAGCTTTGTATAACAGAATCCTGAATTTAATTTTAAAGTTTTACCTGGTACTCTATTGCATTGCAGAACAATAAGTAGTATTTGCAAATAGTATTACCAACAGCCTTAGTGTAAATGTTCCTGGAAGAATCTGAATTGGTCTTATACGGTAGATGAAGAGCAGATAATAACTCAGACAGTATTCACCGCTTGTGTGTGTGTATTGCTTGGTTATTTATTTAGTATAATCACTTGCTCTTAGTCTTATTATTGAACCAACAGCAGCCTTTTGACAAATCTCATAAAAGGGAAAAAAACAAAAAAAACACTGACAGGTGCGAACAGAGCAGGTTTCTTCTTCACTTATCTACATGACAACAAAGAAAACATGACACAGGTGTCATCAGAAGTTATACGGAGGTGATGAGGAGGACATTTTATTACAGCTCTGCTTTTCCTGATATCCAACTGTTTATGGGTCCCCGGGACATTGACTTCACTGACTTTTACTACTTTAACAGTTTATTTCTGTTGTTCCAGGATACTAATTTCACAGCAACCGGTGATACTGTGTGTGGAACGTTTAGGGAAATGAAAGGCTTAGTTAGAATTTTTGTGTAACAGTTGCCATGACCTATATATTGATTTGCATCTGGCCTAACTGATACCACTTATTAGCCATCGCTGCCTTGTCAGACGCATTTCAACTTATCTGCCTCATTCCTAAAAAAAACCCAGTGTGGTTTTTTTTTTTTTCAAAAAGGAAAAAAAGAAAGGCATCAATTCTTCCCAACTGTTTTTCTCCCCTGATTTCCCTGAAAACTGTAAATGAACAAAGAGAGAGGAAAGTTGGGGAGCTGCTTTGACTATCAAATGACTTTGACAGTGTCGGGTTTGTGCGCAGCCAGGCCGTGCTCAGACCATATCTCTCCCTATGATTGCAGCGTCTTCGCCGATTTGCATTACTGTGTTCCATTCTAAGCTTTGCTGGACCACAAAGAAATTGTGTCTTTGCATTTTATATTTGCTTTGTTCAAATGTCTGTCAAACTCTTTTCCATGTGGGCTTGGTCTTATCAGGGGCTGTATGCACATTTCATCAACAGACAAAAAAAGTGTCCATCCTCCATGCACACCGCAGGAAGCGGAGTTTATTTTATATTGCATTAGTATATGTATTTCTTTTAAGATCTGGAAAAAGACAATATAACACACAAAATATGATGTGCAATGGATCTGATGATTCCTGTAGTTGTTTCATACTGGCCTTGGTTTTGGTCCTGATATGCTTTTTATATACGGTGCTTCCTCTGTGGAAATCATCAGAGATACAAACACGTTATCAATACTACACAAGCAGCACACACAGCCATAAAGGAAGAGCAGAGGAACTAAGATTTAAAGCACCTTCACCTTTCGCACGCGCTCCAGATGCCACAAATATTTATTACATTATTTATATCTGTAGATGACACGCTTAAATGTGATTTTAAACTCATGCCTGTACATATGTAACATCTAAGCCCCACACAAGCTCGTTCTCTCTGGACCAAAGAGGTGTGTCTTTTAAAAAAATGTTTGTCCCCAACCCCTCCCACGGACTGTCTCGTAGCCCTAAACTTTGCTGGTAGTTAGAGAACTTTTTTAGTTGTAGCCGTCAGCCTACAGTGAGGTCCAGCTGTGCACCACCTCCCACCTGGCTGCATACATTTTTCGGCTCTAAAAGCTCACTGCACCCATCACTCGTCGGTGGCGTCCACTCAGGTAAGTGACCAGTCGGGACTTTGCCTTCTGTTCTCATATTTCCACCCCAAACACCTGGTGTAACCAGCTTGATTCGTTAAATACAGCTGGCTAATTTTGTTGGTTAAGAATAATTGTGCATGTGAAACTTTCACTGGCGAGAATTACGATCATCTGAGGCAATTTATTGCTTGGCAGACTGTGAATTGTGGAGATACGAGAGGCGAGAACTTTGCATGAGGGCAACAGAGAATCTGTTTCCTTCTCTGTGAAAGTGACACTTTTTGTTTTCCGTTCATTATTTTCAATTGAATTTTCAATAATTACCACAAGTATATGTAACGGTAGAGATGAATTATAATATTAATTTAATTCTCCCACTGCACGAGTTCAGCTTGAAGTCGCTTACATCCATATCAAAAACAAGTCGACTGCTTTACACGGTAGATATATGTTCAGTGTGTTTTAATGCAAGTAGCATAATGTCAATCTATTAACATTGGAGTTTAGGGGCATAACACTCAAAGTAATTAATTGTGTTGTGATATGAGCAGCTGGGTGTGAGTTTCAAATTATTTCATCTATCCCTCTGGGGTTGTTTCTTTTTTAGTTTTGTCTCTTTTGATCAGTCCTCCACAACGTGCCGCCTCACCCCGCTGTGTCACTGCGCTTGTTGCGTTTCTCATCAAACAGATTTCTATTAATCAGATGAGATTAGTTTCATGTAGTATCAGTGGGGCTGGATATATTTAGCATTATAATAATGCTGTCTATCAGATTTTCTCAGAGTTTATCAGCCAGTATCAGTCTCTTCTCTTTCCTCTTCTCTTCCCTCTAAAGATACGGCGCGGGGAGAGGCCTCGTCCGCTGTTGTTATAATGCACATTATGATGCTGTGGGACGTCGTCGCTGGTATTTTGGAGCAGAATTTGTTTTTGATTCGACTTTTAAAGCAGTTTTCAGAAAGGGGCCTTCATCTCAAGCTCTAAAAATCTGCTCGAAATTTGCGTTTTTCTTTGATAAAAATTGAATCGCCCCCAAAAAAACCAAAACAGAAAGGGTTATTAATCACACAAATAAGTGAGAGTGTGACAGAGACTGCTGTTAACACTCTGACTTGAAAAGAAAAAAAATCTGCCAGCAAACACCATTACACTTTGTGTGCGCTGCTGTGTTGTTTGTCCACGCGGCCAGTCATCCCTATGGGCACGTCTTTTGCATTCCTCTAACTGGCACACCTATTGTAGTGGGGCCACTTGGTAACCGTTTGGTCACTGGCTGTGTCGCTACATTTATAGACTCGTTTATTTTTAGTTTTTACTTTCAGCCGCAGTCAAATGAGGATCCTAGAAAAGGAAGTTTGAAAAAGCATGCTGTCGAGAGATCTTGTCCCTGATAACTTCAAGTTGCACTGGTTGTTGTGAAGAGAGAAGCTCGGTGATAATGCATCGGCTTCAATCAAAGTCACGGCCTCTCTCGTTCTCATCTGAATTAAGAGAGTCGCAAACCTCCAGTGTGCGAGGAGTTTGGTGGTGTCTCTGTCAAGACCTTTTGACAACATGTCTCCATAAAGACTGAGAGCCACACACCTAAAAACAAAGTCAATCGATGCTCGTGTCCTTATATTCATTTTAAAATGTGCTAACTGTAAAGACAAATGCATTAGTGTAAGGGTGTAGAGTGCAAAGAGTACATGAATGAATAATAAATGACTCGTGTAAAATGAGGCTTGTGCACAGCTTAGATCTTTTCATCCTGGGTTGGTGCATTTGACAGCAAAAACAATTTAGATTTCTCACTATACTCGCCACAGGCTGTTTTACCTGCCAACATGGAAGATTCATCAGAGCAGTCCCACTGGGTGTCTCCATCCCTGCTCAGCTCAGACCCCCTGGCCGCTTTCTCCTCTGATTCTGGCCTGTTGCCTCCGGGAGAAGAGGGTGAGACGTTCTTCACCGGCCAGGACACTGACTACACCAGCCTGCCCTCTTTCTTCTCCACTCCAAGCCTCAGCCGAGCGCCAGCTCCTTACCGACACGGCTCTGGTCAGTGCTTCCAAGCCGTCACCCAACAAATCCATCCTCTAGTTCACCTTCTAAATTGTGATCTGACTCTTATTTCTTCTTTCCACAGTTCGACCAATGTTCAACTCACCGAGCCTGCTCAGCAACCTTCAGCTGCTGGATGGGCTGCCCAGCCACTCTCTGAGCTCACCCTACAATCCCCCAGTCTCCACCTGGAGCAGCAGCCCTCTCACTAAGACGCCATTGCATTCGCACACCCCGACCTCCCTCTACACCCCTGGAGTGACCTCCTCTTTCACCACTTCCAGAGATGGATACTCGTCTCCGGGCAGAGAGGGCAGGGAGAGTCCCCATTTTCAGGAGGCCCTCAAGGCAGAGCGCCTGAGCCCACTTGGGGGGTCTGGGGCCAGCAGCAACTTTCTCAACCTGACTCCTGCAGCTGGCAGCGTGTACACTCCATCATCCCACCCACACATGCTAAGCCCCTACAGCTCATACATGAGTGGCCCACAGGACTACAGCTCTGCTGCCCTCTACTCCAGCCCTGGAGCCTGGATCAACCCCTCGTACTCCCCTAAACTCCGTAACAAGATGAGGATATCCACTCCAGGTGAGGATATATTGACAGGTGCCTCTTTTTCTTTTCCCTGGGTGGACCATTTTGGCACAATATTCTATAAAATGAAAATGCTCTGAAAGTTCAGCCTTGACGGTTGGTGGCTGTTTTGGAAATTATCAGATTTTTCTCAGCAGATGCAGATTTCATGGAACTGTAGATGGTTACATTTACAAGAAATTTGAATAAACTTTCAACCCTTGTAGCTCTCCCAAAATAGAAATTCGAACATCTGTACTTCAACAACAACTGAGCATCTGCAAGTTCCAAAAACAAGAGAGAGAGAGAGAGAGTTGTGAAACTAAAACATTTTGTTCTATATTGAGCATAACAGTCTGCCCATTATATAATGTGTCACTGAGATATTTGCACATGAAATAATATATTAAGAAACATTCATCCGTCATATGTTACACTCTGTAAACTGTCATTATTTCTCTGAACAGAGGCCAGAGAGTGTGTCAACTGTGGAGCCACAGCTACCCCTCTGTGGCGCCGGGATGGTACAGGCCACTACCTGTGCAATGCCTGTGGACTGTACCACAAGATGAACGGCCAAAATAGACCTCTAATCCGACCCAAGAAGAGACTGGTATGACAGGCTGACACGGGCCTCGTTTGCCTCCTTTGTAAACCATCGAACAAATAATCCGTCGTTACCAGGGTAGTTTGAAAAGCTCGACTATATCCTTTTCTGTGTCTCAGATTGTCAGCAAGCGCGCAGGTACCCTCTGTGCCAACTGTCACACAAGCACAACAACGCTGTGGAGACGCAACGCCAACGGGGAACCTGTGTGTAATGCCTGCGGACTCTACTTTAAACTGCATAACGTGAGTCAGTCATTTCAGATGAATCCACAAACACCTGGCTAAATATTAAAAAAAAATTTATTAATTAAAAAAATTCTCTTTCATTCCTCACTACAGGTTAACCGGCCTCTCACCATGAAGAAGGATGGAATTCAAACACGTAACAGAAAAGTCTCCAGCAAGAACAAGAAGAGCAAGAAGGCCGCCTTGTTGGAGCCGTACATGGAGGTGACTCAGCCGCCCTCCCTGGACGACAACGGTGGGCCCTTCTCCCTCGGCCCCGGGACTCTCCTCACCTACAGTCACTCGCCTCACCTCATGCCTACACCGTCCCCGATCCATCCCTCTGCCAGCTTACCCTACACGCACCACCTCAACTCTGGCATGGTGCCCACACTAGTGTGACATAACAGGACGGGCACCTGTGAATACTCAGACACGAGCCCGCTTCCTTCTATTGCCAGTTATTTGTACATATGTGTTGTTGGCTGTCATGCGAATGGAGTTTCCTGTGTATTTTACCTGCGTTTCATCCACATGTTGTGTTACTGTGCTGACTGGGCACTTGTGTGAAGTCTGATAAAATCACTCAGGTTTTGGCATATGTAAACACCCTAATAAGGGAATTCTCCCAGCTGTAAATATAAACACAAATCTGATTTACGGTATCTGTGTGACAATTCTTCTTTTATTATTCTTAAAGTAAAGCTATACCTTAGTTTTGTGCTTCAGGGGTCTGTTTTGTATTTGCATAATTCTTATTACCATATTAAAACTCTAAAGAAAAAAAATGCGTGACTTATTCTGTTTGACTTATGAAGGCTTTTGTTTTAAGTCATTTGAATCCTCAGCTCTCTGAGCTAACCACAGCAAGGCCTGCTGTGGGAGGTTATTGTACTCCCCTGCCCTGGTATAATGGTGTCTTTGTGCTGGCAGTTCTCCACTTTGACAGTGTAATAGTACATAGCGGGTATGCAAATCGTCTTTTCCGCATAAGTGACAAACATTCAACTAAAGTGCACCACTTATGGCTGCTTTTATATTTAGACGAGCTACAGCACAACTGGACGCACGAGGTCACGTTTGTACTTTTCATTACTCATCTCTGTTTGAATGTGCAGAAGGGGATTTTTGTTTCAATTTTACAGTTTTCCACTTTCATGTCAAAGGTCTCAAACTACAGAGAACGTGTTTAGAAATCAGAAGACAACAATACGTTTCATGACGTCGCTGCCCTTTGCGTGTTTTATTTTTGCCCATGTAGGCCAAAGAAAGCCGAGCACATGTAGATTGCGAGGTGAATTCTGCCTTTAATGAAGTAGAAGAAAAAATGCACACATGCACATTTTTCTCACCAACATTGAAACTCTTACTGTAGTAAATGGATCAGGCTATTACCAGTCAAATTTACTTTAACAAAGTAAAGACGAGATCACGGCTAGATTGACAAAATTGTAAAATATATTACAAAGGAATTAAAAGTGACTTGTGAACATTTAATAAACAAGGGCTAGTTTGACTTTTACTTTTTCACTTTAAACTCTAACAGTGCGTGACATATTAAGGTGCCATTATGTTTTATTTTGAAAAACCCTAGAGGGACAGCATTCAAAGACGTGCTGTGTAAGAACATCTGTGATTGTGTTAACCAGCTGAATGCATTGTTATCTGAACAAACACAAAGCACTTAACAATCTAGGTGCACTGACTCCTCAGCCTCGTTTTTGGCTTACCTCTCTGTAGTTTCTGACCTTTGTGCTACAGCAAGTGGAGAAGCAGGAAATAAAAAAAAGAAATCCAGATAAACTAAAATGTAAATGCCTAAAATTATTTATAAGTACAAGGGTACATGCATTTACTTAAAATAGGCTTAAAGAATGATTTTTTTTTATGTTGATATAATATTAATATTTTAATATTCAGACACTTGGAGCTGATTTGTTTGTTTTTCTAGAGGAATATGGCTTTAAAAAACAAACAGGACAGGCTGTTTGATAATGGACACATTGCCCAGCAGCATTGCCCTATTAGGGTTAAATTAGTACACACAGGCAAAGCTCTCTGGCACAATTTTACGACAAAATGCATATTGTTCTGTGCAAAGAAACACCTTGAATTCAGGGTCTTAACAGACTCTTGCCTTAACAGCTTATCGTGGCGATCGTGGCTCAAGAGTTGGGAGTTCGCCTTGTAATCGGAAGGTTGCCGGTTCGAGCCCCGGCTTGGACAGTCTTGGTCGTTGTGTCCTTGGGCAAGACATTTCACCTGTTGCCTACTGGTGGTGGTCAGAGGGCCCGGTGGCGCCAGTGTCCGGCAGCCTCGCCTCTATCAGTGCGCCCCAGGGTGGCTGTGGCTACAATGTAGCTTGCCATCACCAGTGTGTGAATGGGTGGATGACTGGTTGTGTAAAGCGCTTTGGCGTCCTTAGGGACTAGTAAAGCACTATACAAATACAGGCCATTTACCATTTATGTAAGAAACGCCTAATACTAGTGTATACATGTCTGTGTACTTGTACTTTTTATGCCGAGCAGCAGGGCTGGGGTTGCTCGCTCAGTACTGGGGGGTGGCTGATAAGTTATCACTGAGGCCACAGACCCCAAACCATCCACCTGCTGCTGGCACCGCCACTCTAACACTCCCTGTCAGTTAGTCATTGAGGGCCACAGTGTCTCTTTAGGTGTCAAAGACAAACACACATATCACTGGAATCATCTGAAGGACCGGTAACTGGGTGTTGTATGTGAATAGGCGCTGGGGTGTAGAAGAACAGTTTGGTTACAAAACCAGTGTGTCATGTTTGGGCCAAGTGAATCCTGTCATGTTTCATAATCTGCGAGTACGCTCACAGAATGCTTCCCTCGAGACAAATCTATAAATTATCACCCACGTCGCCCACTGATTCGTGCACGCTTCACTGGAGACCTCGAGGAGAAATAAGATTTTCTTTTATGCATTTGGTTTCATCTCGGCGAGTACGGCCCTGTGAACATCTGGGCAAGTCACCTACTCATAACGCTGCATGACACGCACCACTGGGTGTATTGGTGATAAACCAAGTCTTTGACAGAATTTATCAATAGAAGCGTTTTTTGCTTGTTTTTTGTTCAACTCGCTTAACAAATCCACAGTAGAAAAAATAATATGAAAAATGTTTCCTCCTAGTGCAGATTCATTCATTAGCAGCCAACCGTTACAATACATAACCCAACTGATTCCCCAAAGACCTTGATTATGGGAATAATTTGTGATAGTGCCCTGTGAAATTACGGAGCGAGATGAGGGTGGGTTTCTATTTGAATCCGTTTACAGCATCTACTCAAAGTTGACTCTAAACCACACTAAAGTGGACCAATCCGCAGTGCTCACCTCTGCAGGAGTTATCGTGAGCAAAACAAACACGAGACAAGTGCGGGGGGGAGGGGGAGACATGATCTTTTTCTTTTTAAAGGAATAAGATGATTTGGCAAGCACATCCATAATTTATACTCTTTTCCTCAACTGTCTGTATCTGCTGTTTATCTGCTGCAGCTGTCAGCTCTGCTCTGGGGAAATGGCAACAAATGACGGGGATAGATTAGCAACCACAGGCCTTCTCCAGTTCACTCACAAGGCCATCCGTTAGAGCCTTCTCTCTCCCGCTGCCTCACTGCTTGTCTCCTTTCCCATTCGTACTATCATTATATCATCCAGAGCTCGCAGAATAATCTTGTGAAAAGCTGTTCTAGCGTGGAAAGTGGGTGATTTAACTACCTGTTGTGGTGTGTGATCAGACAGATTAAACCCATTACTGGGAGAATTCACGTTCTCTGTGTCTAATTTGACTTTCTTGTGGGAAAAATACAAAAGGAAAAAACTGTGATGGAAGAGCTTGCAAACACTACAGCTGTCATGTCTGAAATTACTTGTAACTGAAAGCAGAGTAGCACAGCTTAGTTTTAAGCATGCTCCTTTTGGAATATGTGGTACATTAGCACCCCCATGTGGAGAAAGTGCAACACTGCTGTTAAGCGAGGCTGTGCAGGATGTAAAACTGTACACATCTTTACACTTCAAACTAGGACACAAAGACCTCCTTCCCCTGGGCCATTCGGACTGTAAAGCAATTCCACCCAACACCCCACCCACGCCACTGAGTAACCCTCATCACTCAGGCCACTCACATGGATTCTATACTCAGACCTAGTCCATTGCACTACTTCCAAGCACTTTGCAACCCGTCCTCTAATGTGTCTTTTTAATGTGTGCCTTCCTCTTGTTTTGTATATACTCCTCTTGTCTGTTATTTATTCTTGTTGCCCTATTTTTATTCCATGCACAGTTGGTGTAGAGCACCCACTGACTCAATAACTGCCCAGAAGCATTAGCAGAATATCTTCCTTGCATGTATATCAGACCTTGGTATATAGCTTTGTGTACATGTTGATATGGTGATAAAGACATGTGGATTTTATATTTTCAAGAAGATTTTAATGCACATTGTGTAAAAGAATACATCTCATTTAATTCCAGCTTTTAAGATACTTCATATGGAGTCACTTCATTTGATTTGTGGCAGAACAATAGCAGCACAAGTGAAAGGGGAGGTTTACAAGACAGTAGCGAGCACTGCTACGATGTATGGTTTATAGACGGTGGCACTGACACGAGAACAAGAACAAGGTGGAAGTGGCAGAGCTGGAGAAGTTAATGTCACAGTGACAGCTCAGTTTGAAGGCAAGGTTGGAGAAACAAGGCTGAGAGGGTTTGGATGTGTGCAAAGGGGGGGGGGGAGATAGTGGACTTGGTGAACAAAGTATGGTTAATATGGAGCTGCCGAGCAGAGGAAAAGAGGCAGACCACAGATGTGGTGAAGGGGGCTTGCATGGGGTTGATGTGACAAGACTGTGCTAGGAGTAGGGCAAAATGGCAGCAGATAATCCAATCTGATCCCTTAGAGGAACAGCAAAAAACAAAACAAAGAAACAAAACAAACAACACTGAATACAATCATGGATATGTAGCCTGTTGCACATGGATAATTTTAGATACTAGTGAGAGATGGAAAAAGTTAATTTCACATGCATGTCTCTGGACTGTTGGAGGAAGTTGGTGTGTCCTAGAGAACTCGCAGGCCTCTGCTAGAGCATAGATTTGATTTTTTTGGATAGCCTCTGCACTCCATACAGTTTACTCAGCAAAACTTTTCAAAACAGACTTAAAAACTCAAGAACAGTCAAAAGAAACTGAGAATTACACATTAAAGGGGGAATATAACATAGTCTCAGTCATACACGTTGTTCCCTGAATAATACAGGATAAAAAGAGAGAGCTTAGACTAGCTGAATCACTGTCACTGCCTTTTTATTAGGTTCATTTAAAGCATTTGCCCTCTGAACGGGCAAATCAGCTACTAAACTGTTGTGCGTTTAAAAATAAAATAAAAACACATTGGTCAAAGCAAGGCAAGCAGGTGGTCTGCAACAGCTCACCAAGTTACACATTATGAAGCTTCTCACAGAATGACTTTGCCCACCCACTATGGTCACTGCACATGTGGACTGGGCTTCCATGTAAACATTAACCGCTTCCCTCCCTCGGTTTAGCATTCCACAGGGTGTTCAGTGACGGCAGAGAAGTAGCACCTTCACTGTTAATCTGTCATGAGCATGCCAACCAGCAGCCCTGTTACTAATGCCACTCCAACAAATAGCCATCTCTTCAGAGACTCCCCAGAGCTCCTAGTAGACATCCCTTTCCCAAATATCTCTGTAAAGCGGTCCTGGAAAAAAGATTAGACAGTGTTTTAAATGACTTTTTCCCCCCCCCTTTAAAAGCACAAAGGTTGCACACCTCATGTCAACTTCATCCCCTGCCGACTTACCCATCCTCCATTTCGTTGGATCCACAGACTAATGTGATCATCTAGATACGCAGTCATCCAGTCTGCAATGTCGGGTACCAGCTCACCCATATTGCTGTCAATACAGTCCAGACACATTGCAGAACCAAAGACAAACAGACCAATTATACGCCCCCAATTGATTCCATCCCTGAACAACTCCTCCATCACACTCTCGAAGCATTGCTGGGCTGTGTCTGGCGTGATGTTGAGGTGCGAAGCAACGTCCCTAAAAGACTGTGTGAACAGAAAACCAAACTGCTCCCCTGAGTCTAGAAGAGCTGATTTTAAAGCCTCTATGCCATCGTACGCAGGCAGGGATTTGGCCAGGTCTCTCTCAGTCCTTTGGCCCACATTGGTTGGCCTCAGAAGGGAAGTTGGGTGATTCTTCTGAGACAGTTTATAGCTTATAAAGAACTCCACCAGCTCTCGGTTCCTGCACTGCATCTCCACTCTGGACCTCCTCTGCAGGGCCAGGCTAATCAAATGCCACGATCTCTCCTGCCAGTCATACCAGTGTATCATCTGGCACATTAGGCTTCACTTGGAGTGGTCACCTGGAAGCACAGACGGATATTGCAGTTAGCTTCATTCTTTTAAAAATTTAGCAACTCGTGCAACTGTGTTTTAGCATCCATCTCTATTGATCAGTCTTTACTCTTCACCAATTGTAAAAAAAAGGTAAACGTATGTATGAGGAAACAACTGCAACTGTGGCAGAAATTTGGAAAATAACGTTTTATGCGAGCTAACCGCAGCTAACTAGTAGTTTTTCAAGCTTAGCCCTGAACTGTTCACCAGCATCACTTCTATACCAGAGCCTCTGAATGCCAGCTAACCATCGCTGACAGCTCCAGCTAGGAAGTCGCACGCTTGGATTCTACCAGTTTTAGCTTCACGTGCTAACCAGCTGCCACACACTCCGCATGAAACGCAGCAAAATTAGAAAAAAACTAAATCAATAAACTAAAAATTCTATTTAAGCCGTGAACATGCGGCGCCTCCACTCACCATTATACCTAGAGCTGCTAAAACCTTGTTCTCCGTTTGAGAAAGCAGCTATGAAGTTTTAAAAACTACTGCTGCGAATACTCCAGATAAACGCACCTTTCTGAAGCGTCACACTTTGTGGCCTGGGTAGCGATGCACGCTGGCGGTTGGACAGTTGTACGGTAGCAGCAGCAAGAAGTCCCACCCACTCATACAAAGCGACCAATCAAATAAGGAGACATTCCGGAAATTAGGAAGTCGCTGAAATTTCATTTAAAAACATGCAGCTGCATCTGTTGTGACACTGACACTCAGTAAATTATACGGAGTGGCACTTTACCTGGTGAGTTAAATGTTCGTGTTTAATGAATAGGGGCCTCTTATTGTAAAGTCTTCTCATTTTGGAGCACTGGGCAACTTATAAACAAATGTGTCATGTTAGAAAAAAACAGTATGCCCTAACGCTATCATAGAAGAGAAAGTGCGACTTCTGGTTGCCCAAAATGCCTTAAATTTACATTTATATACATACCTGTGCTCTCACTCTTAGAAACTGTTATTAAGTTAAAAAAAACAAACATTTTCTGCAGAAATACCTTTAAGCAGCTAATTTCACCTGGTCCAAAAGCTTAATAGCACAGAAAGAGCGGCAATAAACTTTCTTATTAATCAAACACCTTTATTAAAATGTGTCCATAAGGAATTAACATATCCTACACTTTCTAAATGTTAAATGACAGTATGGTGCAGTTCTTTGTCACAGTTGAAAATATGCAAATAGTTCAGTTTACATATTTCTTATATGGTGTGACAGCAAACCAGTGAGTGATACAGATGTGCATGAAGAAACTATCAAGGAGCAATGGCTAAAAATATATACACAACACTACCTACATAATGCTGTTTATTTCGTTTCAACACTGTTCAGAAAAAAAAAAATCAGCTGCTGATTTAGTGACCCACACATACTATTTGTAACTGTTGAGTCATCTTTGTTTTAATACACCCCTTTACTACTCAACCAAGGCACACTGCAAGGCTTGCATTCCCATCTTGCAAAGAAATCTCCGTCTCTCTAGAAGCATTATCTGCAGGTTTTGTTTCTTCAGTCATGTTTAATGGTTCCTTGGATTGGAAACTCTCGTGCGCATTTACATCGATATCTCCATTCTCAGTGGGTCTGTCATCTGTGTTTGTTTCACTGTCAGAGTCTATGGAAATAGTCTCTGTGCACGTACTAAGTTTTAAGGTACAATTTAGTGTCTCACTGTGTTTGTTTTGGTCCGTCTTTGGAGTACGACAACCGATGCCTACGGCCTTCTTAGCAGAGGTACCAACAATTTTGCTTTCCTCAAAATTCAAGTTATGCTTAACTTTCTTTAGAGCTTGCATGTCAAAGCCGAGCAGCACCGACACCTTCTTGGTCTTGCAGTTTCTCACGCACGTGCTTTGCTTGGTTGCAAAGTGTGTAGCGATGTCGGATTTCCACAGCCACAGACTCGCCGACAGCTTGTCCTCTTCAGAAGAAGAAAGGTACGGTCGCCGGTTGAAGTAGGCAGTCAGGAAATTTTTCCTGGCCTCATAAGTCTTGTGTTCATAGCTTCTAGGATCCAGAGCAAGCCCATCAGATTCAGCCTTCTTTCCAAAGATGGTGGAAGTCGTCTTAGCATCCTTGGCCAGCTTTATCCTCTTGGAGTTAGACAAAGCCTGTGTTGATGGCTGCCTCTTAAGATAGCCAGCCCCAGAGGAGTTAAGTGTCAAGCCAGGTTTAAAGTTTTGGGTTGCTTGGTTCCTACCAACAGCCCTGCACTGCACAAGATGCAACGTAATTGTGGAAGCCACCATGTTGCTGGTGTACACCCCTAAGCAATGAATGCACTTGTACGTCATCTTTTTCTCAACTGGATGTATTGTTTGAAGGACTTGATGCCGTTCTCTCAGATGCATGGCCAAAGCATCGGAGATAGGCCCTTTGAGAATGGTGAAACACAGCGGACACACAGTCTTCCCAATCTCACTTGTTTGCATTAGTGAAGGGATACTTCCTGCAAGATGTTCACTTTTCTTATCGGTCCCTTTAGGATCAGGTAGTTTGACAAGATGTGGAAGACTATTCTGAACAGGCGTCGACTGATCTTGACCATTGATGGGTTCCTTCATGTTAAAAGTAAGAACAGCAAGCTGTACATTACTGGACTTCTCTTGTTTAATGGTGAGGTCAAAGGTTAGAGGCGATGCACCAGGGGGTCCAATAAACTCCTCAGGGTGTCCCTGAGCTGTATGCTCCATAATTTTCTCAACATTGTGGAAAGCAGAGTGACACTGTGGACAGGTCAAGCCATGGATTAGCATGTGATTTAGCAGTGTATCACTGGGCAGGTAGCGGTTACAAAGCAAACATTTGCTGGTAAAGTTGTGGATTTTCATGATGTACTTGGCAAGCGCCCACACTTTTTTCGCCTTGTGTGCATTCTCAAAATGAGCACTGTATAAGTTTTCAGGAAAAAGCTCATTGCAAACTGTACATATCTTCCACTTCTGTGTTTGGGCTGTGTTTACACCAGTACCAGCATTTTCAACTGCTGTACTGTTCCTCTGTACTGGAACAGTGGCACGCACCTGACTGGCTATAACGGGAGACTGACTTTTAATAACTGGGCCTACTGGCTTTAAATAGCCAATTACTTGCTGTGCATTTGGTTCAGGTCTAAGTGTTTGAGGTCTACTGACAACTAGAGGAGGCTTCTGTGACATGACTGGTAAAGACTGAGGCTTGGAGACGATAATGTTAGCATGTCCAATCATGGTTGTTACTTGGGCACCAATGCGCTCATGGTACTCAATAACATGCTGGACCAGAGCCTCATAGGTACGAGTGGTAAACTGGCATCTTTTACAGAGGATGTTGTTGCCAACAACAGAACTAGCACCATTTTTCACAGATGACTCAGAAACCATACCAAGATATGGTGAGACAATATGCTGAAAATGTTCCCTGTAGATGTGCCTTCTCACCACATTGTATAGCGTGTCCCGAAATGTGCATTTTTTGCAGAAATACATTGCTTTCTCCACACCGTTTCCCTGTTTGTATCTATCAAGATAAGCTTTCCCCAGCGCAGCTCCCTGTGAGCTTCCATAATTGTGCCGAGTTGAATTGGGTATGTGGAATATTTTAACATGCGTCTCCAAAGTTCTCTTGCTTGCAGTAAACGTGCAGTATGGACAGTTGAGCAGGATTTTACTGTCCAAGAGTTTCCTGTGCACATTACGGAAGTGATTCTTGTAGCCTGAGTAGAATTTGGAAGAAAATGGACACTCTGTGCAGCAAAATGGCTTTGATCTGTATTCCTAAAAAAAAATGTAAAAAAAAATGATCAAAAAAAAAAAACAACAACAACAACAAAAACTTTGCATTAAGAAAAATATGCACATTAGTGCATGATAATGTGAGCAAGTCTTTCAGACAGGATAAAATCTTACCTGTGTTTTAGAGTATGATGGATCCCAGGCGCAGATATCAAGGCAAAGCGTGCCCTTCACAAACTGCTCATTAGGGCAAAACTCTTTGAACTCCTGCAAAAAATTGAAAATATTAAAGACCAACTCCAATGGAAATAAGTTTTTAACATTGTTACCATGTCTGTATAGTATTTGTATATGCAAGTCTGTGTCGCACATCTTGGTTTTAAATTTGTATGTGTCCCCTCTAATCCCCCTTTTTTGTTTGGGTTTGATAAAGGGTAATATGTTTCTGATTTTTCCCCCCCTTTATTCTTATGGGGACTGGTACTGAATTTCCCTTTGTCAAGCCAGAGCACTAGTGAGTGTATTTGTGAAAGGCAAACACAAAGAGGTTAGGGATTAGACTGCAAATTCATTCTCTGCAAACTACACTAGGCAAAGCTGTGGAAATGTATCCACACCTTTGGAGTCTGTCATTTTAAAGCTTGATGAGGCTGTTTCTAAATAAATACACACACACACACACACACATATATATATATATATGTATAGAGAGAGAGAGAACAAATTTGTTATCCTTATTACGTCCACCGATGATTAGGTGGCAATCAAAACTGCCTTAAAATCGTCACGTTGGTTTAAAACAAACACACTTACACCTTACTGAAAACCATCTTTGGGCAAGTGAGTGGTCTTTGGTCCATCAATGCTACCTTTATGTTATTCAAAGTTCTTATCCATCACATGCAGCTCAAAACACACTTGCTCACCTCTGCTGCCTCCTTGCAGAACTCAAGTCCAATGTCACCGAGTGCTTTTTTCACTTGTTTCCTGGCTCTCCTGATTCTTGTAAGATTGTTCACCGGGAGCTGATACATTATCTCCTGGCAGACAGATATGAATTCTTCATTATAACCTCAGGTACATTTATAACCTGTATCACATTATCCGGACTCACTAAGAGACAACACGCCCTTTCAGCACGTGTCTCCCTCTAGTACAGCGTGTTTATTATGATGGCATTGTGTGTTTCAGAGCTTCAGGGGTCCGGCACTGTTTCTATGGTGACGCTTCACTACAACCTTGTTTCTGATTGAGTGGTGGGTTTGATCAGAAAGCCTAACAACAGAACAGGTCCACGGCTTCTATTGTTCACTATGCACAGAGCTGTCGGGAATTACAGTTTTACAATACGTGTTAGCTTTGTGGGCTAGCGTTACAGTGTTAGCCAGATTTAGCAATGCCTACTGAGCACAAACACTAGCGTTGCATAGCTGCTTTCTTTCCCTTTCTTTCCACTTTCATTGACGATATTTAAAGTTTTACTCACCTTGCAATAAGCCAGAAGAGTAACTTTACAGGGGTTATCTCACGACATTAATGGCTAAAATAAAAAACAGAGGGGCTGGCGGGACATGCAGATTGGCGGTGATGCTCCTCTCAACGCCGGTGCTCAGCAGCTCCACAGTTAGCTAGCCAAGCTATCTAGTTAGCTCGTTCATCTGCACCGCAGAGCTGCTAGCTGGGGGAGGAGTGACAAAACACAGCGGTAGAATTGTGCACAGCTCATGAAAATAGTACACTTCGAAAATGGGAACCTCCAGGGCCACCTATACTCCTCCAGTTCTCTGATTTTCTTGCACCGGAGGTCAGGCCAGCTTGCTGGCTAACGCGTTGATCAACTCTCAAACCAAAATGGCGACTACAAAAAGACGGAAGTCGTAGTCGCTGGGCTGGATTGACTGACCTGATTGTGCCGATTTCCCCCCTCAAATTCATGAAAACAATCTAGGCAGTTTAGAACACTTTCCATGATGCAAGTCAGATAAACAGTTTAACAAGTGCATTTTTTTAAGTTCCCCCCCAAAATGAGCACATATCAAACGTAATTGCTGATTTTTTTTATTATTATTATTTTATATTTTTTTGCAGATGCAGTATTTCTACTCAAAGAGAGAGCCAGACTTTGATAATATAGCTACTGTCATTCCAGTGGTTCCATAACTTCCAGTACAACAGTGCGAGGTCCTGTCATCACCAGTCTGGTTACTGTCCTGTAGTCCAGGTAAAGAACACACTGTCCATTTACCTGGCACACAAACTGCCGCACCTAAAAAAGAAATAAATAAATACATAAAATATATATATAGATTTTTAAAGGTTATGGATTATATCTGTATCTTGGAGATCAGTTTATAAAATCCAAGATAACTATCTTTTTCAGTTTGTTTCAGCTATTTAACCTTAACTCCAGCAGCTGCTGCAGGGCTTCCAGGGTCAACAGCCTGCATATAACAAGGAGCCATGCCTCTGACAACAAAGCCCCAGCCCAGGGCGTCTCCTATCACCTGCAATCTCAATCAGATAAAATACACCTTAGACTTTAATCTAAGAAGAAGAAGAAAAACACAACTTTATTAATGTGTTAAGCTTGTTTTGACTTTTTGACTTTTAGCCTTTAGGGGACTGTTGCTCAGGTATGCTAAATTGGTGCTATTAAATCCAATCAGAAATCTAAGTAATAATTTATACGTATAATTTTCATAACTCACCGTCAACACTTTCTTGATAAAGGGTGCACCAGGTTCCAATAATTCTTCACAAGTAACTTTTCTTTTAAGGACTGTGAAACCAATTAAAAGATTATGTCTATGTGCTTTCACAAACAAGCCTCATTACAGTAATATTTAAGATAAGATAAGATAAGATAAGATAAGATAAGATAAGATAAGATAAGATAAGATAAGATAAGATAGAACTTTATTAATCCCTCGGGTGGGTTTCTCTGGGAAATTTAAACTTTGATGATACTATGAAACATTTAACAGTTGAATATAAATAACAAAACACTCGCCTGATTTAGGATTGCATCGTACTGCTGAGTGTGACAACAGCTGAAGAGGTGGAAATCCAGCAGAGTGAAACTGAAGGGAACTCAAGCTACTTCGACGAACACCGGTAATCTGTTTGGAGTCTTTGTTTGAGCTCACTATTAGATATTAGTGGCGACGTCAGAATTCATAAAAAAAAAACAAGGTGCATGTTGTGAGAATTGCAAGAGTTTCCTTTTATTTCATGTTTACTCAGTAATTAATTAATTAATTACCACTGAATGCACGGTTGCATTCCTTGGATGAGTTTCTGCGTAGAAGAAAGGGACTCTCAGAATTGTTGTCCTCTTGTGTTGATGCCATCACAGCCTCATCATTAACCTGCTCATTTTCAGTTAACAGCTCAGACAGGCGCCAACGCCGGCGGAAATTGATGCAGAACTGGTAGAGTAGCCCACTGTCAAAGAAATCATGATTTTGTCCCACTGCGGGAGTTGGGGAGAGAGCAAAAAGCAGCAGTCTTAGTATAAATGGTATCTATGCAGTGTATATTTTTACTTTTGATTGCAAGAGTCCCAGATGGCAAGCCCACCGCTGACAGCTGTACATCAAAGGGCAAATGAAAACTCCCCTCACCGTGCTGAATGATGCCATGCTCCTGCAATGCACGGCACAACTCCAGTCCCTGTCGCCGGCTATCTGCCTCTCCATTCTGAATGAGATAGTCAATCAACTGGCAGCCAGGAAAGGAGCGCTTATAAGTAACACCATGCTCCTCTCTCAGCTGCAGAATGGAGTTCTTGTCTGCTATAAGTCTATAAGAGAAAACAAAACAGAATCAGATTTAAAATAGCATGCAGTGGAGGAAAAACCTGGATGAGATACACCTTTATTGAGGTCTTTCAATTCTACGATTAAGCTGATCTGTCTCAGACCAGAACACTTGAAGCACAAACAGACCAGCTCTTACTGCTCATATAGTTGTTGTCCTCGCATGAAGATTTTCACCTCTGTGTTAAAGGGAAATGTGCCATCATCCTTGCGGAAACGGTACAGCAGTTTGGCATCCTTGAATTCTGCCCTCTTGTCACAGACTGAGAGAAAGACAGTTTTAAATATAAGTCGTGAAAGCAACATGAGGACTTAGCTTCAGGTAAAGAAGAGGAATTAATTTTAGCTAAAGAAGGGAGAGCTTCTTTAGTTGAAGCTCTTGCTGGTGCTTACTTCTTACCGTGGTGTAAAATGTCATGGTCCATGAGGTGCTGCATGAGGCTGGCAGCTGTTGCTCGATCTGCAGCTTCCTTGTGGCTCACAAGCCAGTCTATAAGCTCGTGTGCCACAAAGCAGTTAGGATAGGTGCGAAAGTGGTAGCGTCGATCCTTAATCAGTTTTCCATCGTGAAGTCTGAGCCTTAAAGTGGCGTTTAAATCAGCCGTGAGCCTTAAAACTGACATCAGTCATCTACCTGACCTGCAGAGTAGAATTTGCCGACATCATCAGCGAATCTGTTTCGTCTTACCTGAGCTGTTCTCCTGCGATCATGACTTCAGCCTTGTGTTGCCTGGCCATGGCCTTTAACCTAATGCTGCTCGTTCGCTCCATGCTTCTTATAACTGGACACAAGAATGAGTGAATCTGACTTTTAGAAATGGCCGTCATGTTTACCGAAACACACAGAACCCCATTGTCATGTGGGAGCAATGTTGTGTATACAGAAATGACAAAGACGTTTTTTTTTTCTGTTTTGTTTCATTCAGTGCTACAGATATTAGTTTTTCATTTGGGTGTTTGGGTAAAACATCCTGCTCCAATTCTGAAGTACTTGAATTTAAATTATTTTCAGAGAAACACGGGGCTGTTTGCTTGAGTGATGCTTGATGTGTCCACCTAGGTTGTGTTTTCTATAACTGAAATCAAATTGTGTTGTTGTTTTTGTTTTAGTGTGTCATTCCTGAAATACTGGTAACATAAAACTGAAAAATACATCTATAAGTTACAGTTTCTTGGGCAACATCGTTCTTTTAGAGGTCACCTTACAGTTATCTTACAAAACAGGAAACTAGAAAAACACGCTTCGTATGTTGGTATATAGCCTAGCCTTCACCTCAAATAAAACAGCTGTATTTGAAGATTCAGGTCAATATCAATGTATGCATCAAAATATGTGTTCTCAGATACAGATAAAGTGGAGTTTCTAGGGCTATGATATTGTGTTGAAGTGTAAACTTGATGTTGCAGTGCCTAGAAATTCTGCTTTTTCTTTGACTTGACTGTTTTGATACATGCTTGTTATGGCAAAAGAACCGTAGTGCCAGCTTGTGACGTGCACTTAGGCTGTGAGCATCCTATCATTAGCACAAGCTATACCACAAAGCATCACCCCGGTCTTCTGGCGTGAATCCTGTTATGTGTCCCTGAGAAATTTTTGCTCAGTCACACTGTCTCCTCTCTTCCTCTCTTCCCAGCAAGTCGAACTCGCTGAAACAATGCCTGGCCGTTCTCAGGCAGCAATTTCTATTGGTTTTGGCTTGAGTCTTTTTTTCTTGTCAGTAAAGCATTCACTATCATTGGAGTAAGCGTTGCCTGAGAGGGTCAGCTCAGGGCAGGAACATTACTTAACCCTTCGATATCCTGTGCGTTTGTGCTTTAACTCTGGTTAGCCTGGTATCTGTTATGTCAGAGCTGCTGCTGAGCTGCTGACTTCTGGTGGGATCCCTCAGGAACTTCTTTGTGATGAGGCTTTGCGTCTGTAATACAGTCATATTCCCTAAAGATGTAGTTTGGTTAATTAAAATGGAAAATATATATGTATATATTTTAAAGTAGCAGTACCATTGTTTTATGCATCTAAAATGTATTTGGCCTTAAGAAATAAGCGGTGAAGACTGAACAAATATATATTTGTACATTAAAATGTGAGCTTCACAATTTAAATCTAATAACAGGAAAAGCAACAAAGCAGTGAATATACCATATCCCTATGAAAGCCACTGCAGTGTAGGCCATTGGCCACAAGATATCAGTATTCACCTGGGTACCAACCAAGGAGCACAGCAATCACAGTAGGGTCAAATGAATTTTCTAACAGCATCCTGTAGTTGTTGTTTTCTTAATGAATAATGACGTATAAATAACCATAAATTCCTAAATTACCACAAACCAATTTGCAGCAAATTGTGACTGATGGAAAATAAATGTATGGTTCTATTATAGTTCACAACCAATATTAGTTTTTAATAGACAAATTCATTGCCGTATTATTATTCAAAATCCTTGAAATCATATCCTTATCGTTCAGACGATTATGTTTTGTTTTTATGGGTTTTTGTTTTTTTGTTCTCATGGCTCTAATTCACTTTGGTGCATATTTTTTCCTGTGGGGTGAATTGGCAATATGCGAAATAGAGGGCGGATAAAACAATAAAAATAAAGAAATTAAACACAAAAGACACTACAGAATGGAGTTTGCGCCTCTGAGCAGACCTTTATAGGCTTTGGTCAAGTGACAATCACGAACAGATCGTGTGGACTCGCTCGTAGAAGCTTTTATGCAAATCTTCCCTTTTTCATTGGAGAGCAGGGTGGAGGTGTAGTCTGAAAGCCGTGACATCACACAATGCAGCTTTATGAAGAAAGTGCGCTTCTCCTGAAAAGGCAGAGTTGCGTCCAGTCTGTTGGCATCACCGGACTTTTAAGTTCCTAAAGCCAAACAAGCTGCGCGGTGCGACGTCGCAATTCAGCGTAAAGTTTAAAAAGGCGCTCTCCTGTTTTTTGCTGTGATTTTTTTTTCCACGAGTGGTGTTTTCCCCCTTTGTGATCGAAAGTTTGGAAATACTTCATTTTTAATTTTTTTTTTTATTATTCGGGTTTTGTTTTTTGGGCTGTTTTGGGTTTTTTTTTTTTTTGGTTTTTTACAAGTGACTGTGATTTCACTGGCTGCATGAAATATCAGTGGACATTTGGAGCTCTTTAAAGAGACCGGCTTTCCATTTACCATGACGACTGAGGCGCATTCACACTTGGGACTGCAGAAATCACCCATGGATTTCGTCAGCGACTATGACTTGATGAAGTTCGGCGTGAAGAAGGAGACGATGCAGGGGCTGGATCGCTCTTTCCATAGACCAGACTCCGTCTCCTCCACTCCTGGCAGCACACCTTGCAACTCTGTGCCTTCATCGCCAAATCTCAATCCTAACGACCACAGAAACAACGTCGAAAACAACCAGTTCTGGATACCCAACAACGGGGGTTATCCTCAGCAAATGTACCCTCAGGCTTTTGGCCTGACACCCGAAGACGCAATGGAGGCCCTCATCGGAGCCACAGCGCAGCAGGGACACCCATCTGCGCCCCACGGCCACAATCCGCCACCTTTCCCGGCTGATTACGATGGCTACGGCCACCTAAACGAGCCTGTCCAGCACTACCCGGGTCTTCCGGGTCACTCGGACATGCAAGGTATGCCCAACAGCCACTGCCAAGACCCATATCTCAAAGATGACATGGGGTGCGCATCCCCTGAGTCGCCGGAGGCCCAGCAGGTCCTCGGTGCGCACCACCATCTCCAGCAGCAACACAACCGCCACGACAGGCGATCCAACGCCGAGATGCACTTCTCAGACGATCAGCTGGTGTCCATGTCAGTCAGAGAGCTCAATCGGCTTCTCAGAGGCCTAAGCAAGGACGAGGTGATGCGTCTGAAGCAGAAACGCCGGACCCTGAAAAACAGGGGTTACGCGCAGTCCTGCCGCTACAAGCGCGTGCAACAGAAACACATTCTGGAGCACGAGAAGACGAACCTACTGTCGCAGGTCGAGCAGCTGAAACATGAACTCAACAGGCTGATCCGCGAGAGGGACGCATATAAACTTAAATGTGAAAAACTGTCCGGTGCAAACTGTTACCACGAAACAGGGTCTACCAGCGACAACCCATCCTCACCAGAGTATTTAATGTGAGTTTGTAGATTTTCTGCAGAACTGAATCTTTTCCATGTATGAGGGGTGGCATGTTGGCCACCTGGTCGCCTTGCTCCTTACCAAATAACTCCACGGATTTATCAAGTTTAAAAAAAATCTCGGGCATAAAGGACACGACTCAACTTATTGTAATAGATGCAACTAGGCAACAAGTAATGAATGGAAATTTGCGAATAAGCATGCATGCAGGACATGTATGAGATGTCTTTATTTTATACAGACATATCTGTATTTTGTCTCAGAGGACGTACTTGAAATCAGAGGATATTTGCTTTGAATAATTATGCAACCATATTGTTTTGCTTCACTTATTGTTTGATCCTCATTTTGGTGATTTTGCTTTGCTTTGCTTTTTGTAGCCAGGATTATATTTCGTGTTCATCCTTTCTTTATATAGAAAACATCTAATGTTAGAAAGCACACGTCTATTGTTTTTATGAAGCTGATTCTGCTGGACAGATGTGTTCCTTATTTGCTTTTCTTTTCAATGTAATACACAGTTATGCAAATAATTATGCAGATTTTCATTTTTTTCATCTACAATGTTTGTTTGTTGGTTTTGTTTTAAATTCATCTACTATGGATCAATAAACCTATTGTGACATTTTAAAATCGTGTCTCATCTTCTCACGAGTAAATGTTTTACCCGCGTGAAACATTTACTTCCACTTGCACATTTGTCATCGTGGCTTGCTGTAGTTTTTGGAGACATCCAAACACATTAATAATCATATACACAACATAAAAGCAAAAAAGAAAAAAAAAAAGAAGATAAATACTAGAAAAAAAACCAAAGTCTACTATTTGTACATGCTACATAAAATAAGGGTATCACAGTATTTCAGCTAGTACATAGTGTGTATAAATATGAAAGTAATTTGGTTCATTTGCAACTGAAAGACTATAAGCACATAAACAAAAATCTAAATTAGAGCAAAGTTCACTTTCCTCATCATAATATTCCTATTTTCTTATTCTTCCAAAAAACAAATAAGAACAAAGTGTATTAGTTAGTTTCGGCAGATGAAATGAGGAGTGGCTTTCTCTCGTTCCCTGACCTTTGCCCATCATGGAGTACTGCTTCCTGTGGGACCCCAGCATGTGAAAGCACAGGGCGCTAACTAGCCGGGGCTGTGGGGCACAGATAAAATGGAGTGGAAATCAGGCTTCCCTTCTCCTCTCTTCCTCGGACAAACACCTCTGCATTCATTAACAGAGGAAAAGAGAAACAACAACCACGGCACACTGCTCCGCGCTCTCTTGGCCAGCTTCAACAACTTGGTGTTTTGTTTTGTTTTAAATTTAAATCATTAGGAGAATTTCGTAATGAGGAATTTCCTAATCTTAAACTGATCATTCTCAGTTTAAGATTACAACAATATTTGAATGAGCATGTAGTTCCAAGGCCAGGGTAATAATCTGTGATAAGTGGTTACATTGTAAATTGAGTTTATAACCTCTGCGATTGCCTCTGCACAGAATATCTTGGAGAGTGTTTCAGTGTCAGACGAGACTTTGTTACCGTCCTCCCTTTCAGTGAGAGTTTGGACTGGCAGGTGGCTCACTTTAGTCTGGAAACCAGATTGTCTTTTCATGTGTGACCCCCACCAACAGTTTTGACCTCACCCCTCTGTTAAAGCAAAGCAGGCCTGAAGTCACAGCACAGGTGCAAAAGCACTTTCTATCTGAAAACAGGCCTAATCACAAGAGCTCAGGATATCTAGAC